AAAAAATAAAATTGAAACTAATTAGATAAGTACTAATTAAAAATTGTGACTAAAAATAAAAAAATTAAAAAGAATAAATTTGTCAATAAAATTAAAAAATTTCAATATATAACTAGTTTGGTACAAAAAACTACCTTAGATAGTTTTTTCAATCTGTTAGCGATTTGAATCATAACCGTTATTCGTTAATTCTAAACCACTGAATAAAAAATCTTACCAAACACCTAATTTTTAGTGATTTTAAAATAAATAAATTTACTAAATATTTATTTTTAGCAGTTTGGATAAAACCGTTAATTGTTATCTCCAAATCATTGTACCAAACCGACCATATATAGGACTATAAAATAGAGACTCTTAAATGAGAGAGAGCTTAAAATATTAAGGAGCTCACGCTTTCATGAATGGTTAGTGTAATACAGTTCAATACAATTCAAATTATACTACACTTTTTTTTTTAAGTCTAATAAATATTTATTTAAAAATTTTAAGATGAATTCTATTGTTACAATAATTTTATATATAATTAAAATAATATTAATTTTAATAACGTGATATTAGAATAAGCCTTTTTATTATTCCTATTGTACATGCTCTTATACTGAAAATTTTGGTGTATAGATGTCGTCACGAGAAATTAATGAAAAATAATAACAATGCGAGCTAAATTGACAAGACAAATATCACACAAATACACAAACAAATCTGCCTCCACATTTGTCCTCTGCCCTGAAGAATGTCGAAGAAAGCAGAAGGATTTCAAGAATACTGAATTGTATTTATTCAACTTAAGTGTTCTTTGTTTACAAAACATCTCTCTTTGTGTGTGTATATATATATATATATAAATGTACATTTAGATCCTAAATATATGCCTAAACTTATTTAGATTGCCCTTGACCGCTGCTCAATCTTTTTGTGCCTTATGATCATCAATAGTTCCCTTCTTTTTGATATCTTGTTTCCTTACTTAGCTCGTGGCTTGACTTTGTTTTCTCCGATCTTATATTTCATGTGCCCTTCCAGGTAGCTCACGCCATCCATCTATATATAAGAAATTGTCAAACCAACCTAAACTTCGACAGTTTCTCCCTCTTTTCACATGCAACTAAAACTAAAAATGTCAACCAAAACAACATCCTCAGCAGCTGTCACAAACGCCACTAGAGCCACCGTTTTCCTCTTCTCCCTCCTTGTACTCCTCCACAATCCTATACATGCCGCCAGTCCCATCAAAACCATCGTCGTGCTTGTCATGGAAAACCGGTCCTTCGACCACATGTTGGGATGGATGAAAAGGTTCAATCCGGAGATCAACGGCGTTGATGGCTCCGAGTGGAATCCTCTCTCCACCACCGATCCAAAATCTCCAAAATTTTTCTTCGGTAATCAATCTCAGTACGTGGACCCGGATCCCGGCCACTCCTTTCAGGCTATAAGGGAACAGATATTCGGCTCCGACGACACTTCCGTCAACCCTCCACCCATGAATGGATTCGCACAACAAGCTTATTCCATGGATAACACCACCAATATGTCCAAGAGTGTCATGAATGGGTTCGATCCAGATTCAGTTGCTGTCTACAAGGCTCTTGTTTCAGAATTCGCTGTCTTTGACAGGTAATTAATTATCATACAATTCTAAATACACTTTTCCGTTTTGATTTTTTACTATGAAAATCTTATCATGAATCGTAGAATAAATATACATATTTACATGACATCAAATAAATGTGTATCTATAAT